AAATAAAAAAAACCCACCCCTCCTGCGATTCAAAGGCAAAGCGTCGCTCCCTGCGTTAAGCTCCACCCTCCACTGACGCTTTGGGGCCCTTCTGTTGCACTGGCAACAGCGTTGCCACCGCTGGGTTTCGGCCGCCATGGATCCTTCCTTCCTGCAGGTTTGTTGGAAGTGCTGCGACCTCCCCCCGCGCCACGCATCGATCGCTGGTCCCCGCTTTCCCGCCGCTCTGGAAATGGCAGCCCGGCTTCCTGCTGCTTCTCCCTCCCCGCGCTGGATTCCTCCTCCTTGTGGAAGGACGCTGAGCCCCGGGAAGACGACGCCGGCTGGAGCGGGGCGAGGAAGGCCGGGCTGCCCTTCCTCCGTCGTTCTGCAAAACCCTTGTGGAGCGGGTCTGCTGCCCGCAGAGTGGGCCTCGGGCCCCGCATCCGACGGCAGACAGGGAATAGTTTTGCTCGTTCTCTCCCGGGCCCCTGAAACTGCTTCTCCCCGCTTTTTCTTTTCTGCTTTAAAACACAGAGCAGATGCGTTTTCCTCCTGATCAGCTGAGGACAGCTATGTGTAAATCCAAGTCTTCATTTCCTTTCAGGCTTTAATTAATTACTACTGCCAAGAAGGCTACTTTCGTCACGTTCAGACTGTTGCCAGTGAAGGCCTGAAGACATTCGGCAATGACCCGGTGTTTATTTTCTACCGTTCTTACGGCATATTGATGGAAGGTAATTATTTACTTAATATACTTTCAAACCTTCCGATGTTGTTTATTCATTTGAAATCAGAACTGCTGGACAGTCTGAACTATAAACATGAGCTCCTTTTCATGAAAACTATCATATCTGTATTTACTAAGAAGTAAATTCCATTGTATTTAATGGGCCTTGCTTCCAGGAAGGTGCACATAGGATTGCAATCATAAATTGTCTCATTTTCTTCCATGCATTAAAAGTTTCTGTAAGTAAATGTTTGGTTCTACAGTCAAATGTGCAGATCACAATTTCTGCCTGGTAAACGGTTTAGGGATGCTGGAGAACTTCAGCCCTTGGTAATGCTGGATGGGGCAAATGTTGGGCTAGCAGATTTGGGCATGAAAATTTGGGACCACCATTAGCTGTACATAATCTCTTGTGATCGTTCCAGATTTTGCAGCTCAAGTCTGGTAGCCCTAGGCAGACGAAAGTTGGAATTTAACTTCTGAAGTCCTATATGGTCCGTCCCTGCATTTTTTATTGCAAGGGGAAAGTATTATTTATTTGTTACCCTTGTAGTTTGCTTTTCTTCAGATAAATTCAGAGCATCTTTTAGGGTAATTTGGGCATCCATGATTTTCTAGGCAACCAGGAGAGTTTTCTAAGGTGTTTGGAGGGCTGAATGTGAATTTTTTTTATCTCCAAACCCAATATTCCAGCCAATTAATTAGTGTGTGTGTGTGATGTAGGGTGGGAAACACTGAGGAAATTTTCCAGTGTTTAATTTTTTCTGTAAAATAAAATAGCATTTCATACATTTATGAATGGATGCCATTGCAAATGCAGCATTAGATAATGTTAATGTTATTCAAGAAATTATCTGAAGTTATCTGTAGGATGAGAAAAATATGTGATCAGATTTTTTTTGCTATATCCTCTTGACAGAATTGTCTTTTATATATGGAAAGCACTGCACATTTTTATGTGACTATTGTCTTTTTGTATCTAGAAATTATCTGAAGTTATCTGTAGGATGAGAAAAATATGTGATCAGATTTTTTTTGCTATATCCTCTTGACAGAATTGTCTTTTATATATGGAAAGCACTGCACATTTTTATGTGACTATTGTCTTTTTGTATCTAGAAATTATCTGAAGTTATCTGTAGGATGAGAAAAATATGTGATCAGATTTTTTTTGCTATATCCTCTTGACAGAATTGTCTTTTATATATGGAAAGCACTGCACATTTTTATGTGACTATTGTCTTTTTGTATCTCTTGTGATCATTTTTGTAAATATTTAAATTGTTTATATGATCAATAATCTAAGCTTTAAAAGGCATTTTGCACACCCACCCAACATGTTCATGCATGATCATTACAGCATTATACTGAAAAAAGCAATAAATGAGTTTACCAGGGAAGCAAAAGTGTTGTTACACAAACAAATGCAACTAACCGTACTGGTTTTGTTCTCCTAGGGCACATTCAAGACGCTCTTCTCAGTCTTGAATCCATTAAAAGCAAACAAGAAATATCCCTTTGCACAATGATGGCAATGATCTACGCCCATAAAAAAAGTCCAAATCCAGGTAGCGTTTCACTTATTTTTATTCTGAAAAGTTGTATACTTGTACACGGTGAGTTGTAATAATGTTATTTCTCCATTTTAATATGAAGGTACAAATGGGACTCTGCTACAGAATAGTATCAGATGTTCCCACCTCACCATCCAAATAGGAATGTTCCAGCCGCCAGCCATGTATTCTTCTAGCAGGGCATTCCAACCCTGACCTCTCTCCCATTCCATTAGTCATTTTATCTTTCTCAGTTGTCATAAAGTTCCATGGGTGCTAAGCATGCATATTTTAGTTGGATCACCTCTTTCCACTATGATTTTTCACCGTTCTTTTATGGTATCTTGTAAACATGATTTTCCAATTAATGTAGCAAATGTCTTTGCAACACTGCATCTAGGAATCCGGTCTCTCTTTCTGGCACTGTTCTCCAGTAGCTTCCAGATAACTTTGCAGACTAAGGCAGGACCCTGAAGAAGAATTGATCTTTTCTTTATGAGCCCCAAACTTGCCCAGTATATGAGCAAAGCTTATATTTCCGGCATGATTATATTAGATTATATCAGTTTTCTATAATTAGCTAATTAGAAATTAGCTTTCTATAAAATTATCAATTATTAGCAGGAACAAAGTTCCAAATCCTCCTGGATGGTGACTTCATTTCAGGTGTTCATAGCATAGATACAGTGGTGCCTCGGGTCACGAACGGTTCTGTTCACGACCAATTCGGATCACGAACAGCTCCGGTCGCAAAATTTTGCCTCCATTCGCGAACGCTGGATCGGGTCACGAACAGGATCCGTGGCCATTTTCCCTCCCGTGACCCGGTCCGCGGCCATTTTCCCACCTATGACACGTGGTCCGTGGCCATTTTTCCGCCCGACACGTGGCCCGGGGCCATTTTCCGCCCCTGACACGTGGTCCGCAGCCATTTTTCCGCCCCTGACACGTGATCTGCGGCCATTTTCCACCCCTGACAA